CTTTTTCTCAGCTCTCACTGGACCGATTTCTTTCAAAAATACGTCAAAAGATCACAAATCGTATCTAGTTGAAGACATTACCCTTAAAAATTGAAAAAAATTCCCTCGTTCCCCGCAAATGGGGGAAATATCCAAAAAAATTACAAATTTAAAAATCGCTAATTTTCGAAATTTTTTCACTTTTTTTTCTTAAAACTTCCATAACTTTTTATAATCAAAAAATAATGATGAAATTACTGAAATAAGGAAAGAACTTTTGAATTCTGTCACTAATATAATGATCAAAAATTTGTCCCGACACTTTTTTTTCTACATTTAAACGGCTCCCGTAGTTAAAAAAACACTATTTTTGTGTTAAAATTTTCGATTTTCGATTTTAAATTTTCAACTTAAAAATGCTATAAATTTTTAAGGGCAATGTCTTCAACTAGATACGATTTGTGATCTTTTGACGTATTGTTAAAAGAAATCGGTCCAGTAAGAGCTGAGAAAAAGTAGTGACAGACACAAAAAAAAAAAAAAAATTAAACACATCATGGTAAAATTAATACCTTCTCAGCTTAAAGTTTTAAAATTTTAGCTTCATCGAAGCTAAAATTAAAAATATTATCGTGATATGGACACATGTTTGTATAAACTTTTTAATAACACCAAAGTATAATGCATTTAATGAATACAATATATAATATCTATATTTAAAAGATACACCAAATAATTATCACCATAACTTAATTCATTTATGCTCAATTTTTTTAAATAAGTACTTATAATATTAAAGATGTTTATAAGTATGAAATGTGATAAATTATTATACAGAAATAATTTTTAAATCATGTTTATTTTTCTAAAAAATGATACACTAAAATTTCCTATGAACTTCATATAAATTAAGTGGTTCAACTTGTGTTTCAACTAGAACACTTGTTTTATTTGCTTCATCGTATTGAAAACCTAAATTGTGATAAAATTTACTTATATCATATATTGACAAACTAATATAGTTGCCATAATATTCAGAATCCATTCCAATCTTTTCTGAATCTTTATATTTCCATAAAAAGGGTTCTGGAAAAATATCATAAACATCTTTTAGGAAGTTGTCCAACTTGATCAATATATTAGTGACAGAATTCAAAAGTTCTTTCCTTATTTCAGTAATTTCATCATTATTTTTTGATTTCGAAGAATTATTGTAAGCATTATTTATTTTATTTTCGAAAGTGTCTATCAATATTTGAACATTAGTTGGAAGATCATTTCCGTTATAATAACTTAACAACAATTCTAGTGAGCTTTTAATTTTTGAAAAAGTCGTTACTAAATTATTAAAATTATTTTT